CTTAAAATTTTAAGATTTTTAAAGTGTTCCAGAACATGAAGGGAAGGAGGTATTTAAGGAAAAATACATTGGCCTAAAGTGTAGATTTCCAACAAATACCAGTTCAAATTTAAGAACAATAGCATCAAAAATGTATATTTGAGACACAATATAATCCAGCATGTCCATTGTACTTGCAGGGCTCCAGCAAGTGTCCAAACTGGACAAATATTGCCCAATGTGGGGGCAATACAAAAATTTCTAAATGCTTCAACAGAGATTTCACTTAGGGTCGAAATGAAAGATAAAAACCACCCAATTCATATTCTACCAGCCATATTTACTCACAGCATGATTAAAATACATCTAAATATTAACATTCAGCAATATGAGCTACATGAAGGAGATGTAGCAAATGCGCACCAACAAATAGCCAAAACACTGCAAAATACATATAAATCCTCACTTTTTTCAAATCATTACAATCCACAYAGCTTACAAAACCACAGCAGCAAAAATTAAAAAAAAAWTTACTTACTTTTGATGGATAATTTGTTCTCTTTTTCTGACCGAAAGTGATCCAAAATGGCAGCTGGAAGGAATGCATAATCCTTTCTTTTATGACATTTCCTGCCTACAAAAGTCTCTCTTCCTTGTCTTGAAGCACTCAAAATACTTTATTACAATTAYATTTTCTCTTTAGCAGCAAGTTTAGTCAGTTTACTGTCCAAAMAAATGACATTCAAAACATGTTTTTCATGTCTACTGTTGTCATCACTCGAGGGACAAAATGGCTGCCACATCATAAAATTTTCTCCACACAAGGTCCACACCCACCAAAGCTGCATAYTGAATAAAAGAGAACTTGATTGGCTGCACAGCTGTGGCGTCAGAATGAAGCTCAGAGCTGATTGGCAGATTCTACAGTCACTCAATCACCGACATGAGGAGCTTGCCACACATTTTGGGCTCTGGAGAGCCAATATATGAACCCATTTGGTCGAAAAAWGGTGTCAGTCAAAAGAAGACAACCAATCAAATTGTTTGAACTGGTTTTGTGCAAAGTCAAAGTCCTTGGCAGCAGTTAGGCCATAAAGAGGTAGGAAGTACCCACAACCTGGGAATGTACTGTATTTTAGGCAGTACATTGCAGGTTAACAGAGAAAATGACTTTGGTAAAARTGTATTTCTCTGATAAGAAAWGTAAGCAAAACTGCTCACAATAATCAGGACAGTAAAAGTACACTCTARGAAATGAAAYRTTCARTTTATGTAAACTGGTTCCACTAAAACAAATTGCATAAATGTAAATCAGTTTATTAATTTCAGTTTAGTGGAACCAGTTAACATAACTTGGTTAAGTAAATTCAACACTTCATTTTTAGAGTGCATAAACAACTCCTTCATGATGAGCTATGGTCATTTAAATTTGTAGTAAACATTTTTATGTTTTGAACATAAAATAAAAGTTATGATTTWWAAAAAACACTTCGTAAAATTACAGATGTACTTTGATACTATACACCTCTGTTTTTTTTTTTKTTTKTTTTTTTTGTCTCAGTAGAAGTAGCAGAAGCAGTCACACTTGAACACACCTTAATTTTTTGGTGCAGAATCTATAAGACCCATTTCAGTCCCAACCAGAAACAAAACATAAAATTAAAATGAAACAAACTCTGACTCAAAGTAGTAGCACAGGTGTGACAACAGGGACTACATCCTACTTCTGCACCTGCATGTGCTGGTTTCCTGTTCATGTGCAGAGCCTCATTAATACATCATTAATACACCTGTGTTTGTTCTACTATTTTAGGTAAAAATGTCTACMATCAATCAGGTTTATTGAAAAAGTACCTAACTACAGCTTCTTGTGGTCTGAGGTACTAAAAATAAAACGTGCTTCAGTGAAGCACGTTTTATTTTTTATTAAGTGTGTTACTTTGTTCACTTTTAGTAAAATATAATAAATCAGCCTGTATACAAGTGTAATATCCATGTGTTTTGTTGTCCGCAGAAGTATATTACGTTAAAGTCAGAACTACAGTTACTGGTGGTACACCCACTGGGAGACCACTGCACAGACTGCTGCACACATGGGAGATTTACCAGCTTTACTACAGTGATTAACAGATAAACAGTTTCAGTTGTTGAAGAACGTGAACAGATTGTTTCCTTCCTGTCAATATCTGCTATTGCACCGTTCACAACACACCTGCTACTGTGTGTGAAGASCTTAAAAATATATCGTAGACACAGATTCTAACACTCAGAGCAGAAAATGCTGCACATGTTTATGATATTTTAAGTTTTATACACTAAAARATTTTACTTTTTTAATGTAAACTTAATGGTCACATGTGACAATATATTAATTCTTATGCAAAAAAGGAAAGCCACGTTACATAAAAAATGATAAATCACTACCTCCTGTGAAAAGAGCTAAATGTGATAGCTCATAAATTTGAATGGAGTTTTTAATAATTAATATCTTACCTGTTGTAGACCGCTTTGTGAACAGCTTCAGATTGGAAAAAATGGTTTAATAGTCGTATTTTACAGCAGACATTTTATTTTTTTATTTCCACTTCTGCAGCTGCAGATGCTGGCTGATCTGTAAAAAAAGAAATTAAAATAAAAAAACCTGTCAAGCAGAACTTCCTCTGAATTGAATGCAGCCCTTAGTCTTAAATTTAAATGTCTGTAGTGAAATGGACCTAATCTGACTGGATCAACAACCTATTGGCAAGGCCAAGAGGTGCCAAAGACAAATTAAAAAAAACCTCCTGGGTTGCAGTCACATGACCCGGATGATGCACAAAATTCAGATGGGGGCCAGGAAATGATTTTCTCCGGTTCAAAACACAGCAAAATGTATCACAGTGAGTACGTTAATGCCCTAAATGGGCTGGTGCAGATGAGATATCACAAAAAAAAACATCCGTACATTTAGGATATATATCTATATTGTCTTAATAAAAATATAATCTGTAGGATTTACCGGTGTCGAGGCGATTGACATAAGCAATCTGGTGCTGCAGACCTCGTATCATACGAGGAGCCAGAAAGCTTTCAAAAGCCTCAAAGCTACAATTATTTTGTTTCAGGTTGGGTCAAACATTTAGGATCCAAAGAAGCTTTAAATGGCTGTTGACTTGTTTTTGCCCAGGTGAGTAGTGACTTGTGCTATTTTAAGCCTATGATAACAATACTATCGCTAACGCTAATAACGAGTTACCCMTTATTTCTATGTGCTTGGATCTACCTGAAAATCATTTAGTTAGCTTCTGTAAACCTGTTTGAGTAAMTGTCAAACAAAATATCTGAAAATACGATTTAAACGATACGATCCTGTTAGAAAGTGGTTGCTGCAAACTCTTGTATTGCACCTCCTGTTTTAGTCATAGATTGTTGATCCACATTTGTTAAATTTTCTGTACGTTTTTTTTTTAAATTAGCTCTCTTGTGACACACTGCTTATTTTTTGTTTAAATGAGCGATTGTAACAACGGTACACGGCACAGAATTTAGGTGTTTTGACGCTGAATCAACAGAAGGAAACGGGGCTGCATTTACTTCCTGTCCCCATCTGCATTTTGTGATGTCGACACTAGGTCATCTGCAACTCAGCAATATATCTTTTTTAGCAGTTTATGCAAACCAAATTTTATAAACACTGCATCCTTTTTTGGTATTATTTGCAATTAACCATAGCATCTTAAATGCAGCAGGACTAATATACTGTCGTCCTTTTGGGGAATAAAGCAAGTAATGTAGGAGTGACAGAGGCGTAAAAATGTATAAAATAGTGTTCAAATGAAATATATGAAAAGGCATCAAACCATTAGATTTTATTTTTTCTGAATTAAACTTTATTCTGTGTATTTCTGTGTATCATGAACTTGGCTTTGTCATTACTGAGAAATCTATAACTCGTTGACTTTAACAGCTGCCAATAGCTTGTAGGTTTCCACAACATTTCCCTCCCATCACGTGCACGGGGAAGGTGAGATCCTCTGATTCAGCAAGTCAAACCCTCTTCTCCGGTCCATATTATCGATGCTGCTGGAGGGCCGTGTAAAGGATGCCGGGGCACGAGGCAGGGTGGGGTTGGAAAGAGCCGACGTATTTGTCGGGGGCAGGGCAGGCAGGGCTGGAGCCGCAGATTATTCTAGAAATTGCCAGCTGCAGTGTCTGCAATCAGGATCAAACCGGTTC